AGGACGAGAGGTGACTTGATAGAGGCGTGCAAGATGACGAGAGGCACGGATAGGGTGGATAGTCAAAGACTTTTTCCCAAGGCGGAAATGACTATTACGAGGGGGCATAATTTTAAGATGATCGGAGGAAGGTATAGGGGAGATGTCAGAGGTACGTTCTTTACACAGAGTGTGGTGGGCATGTGGAATGCATTGCCGGCAGTGGTAGTGGAGTCAGATACTTTAGAGACTTTTAAGCGACTCTTGGATAGGCACATGGAAGATAGTAAGATGTAGGGAATGCAGGATAGTTTGATTTTAGTAGGATAATAGGTCGGCACAACAGCGTGGGCCAAAGGGCCTGTACTGTGCTGTACTGTTCTATGTTCTTTGTATAACCTGAATAACATCTTTAAGATTATGAAACAGTTTGCTAGTCTAGACGCAGAGCATTTTTCATCTGCAAGTGAGATCAGACTAGTGGCCATTAAAAAGATAGTCCCTCTAAAATATAATAGGGAATTCAGGAGAAACTTCTTTTTCCAGAGAGTAGTTAGAATTACAATTTGCAATGAATGGTTGGAACAACTTATATGATGCACTTAAGGGGAAAATAGAGAGCACAATAGGGAGAAAGAAATAGAAGGATGTTTTGATGGCTTTAGATTAGCAGTAGGCTCATGTACAGTATGTACACCAACAGTGACATATCATCGACTAGTTGGGCTAAGTGACTCAAAATGCTTTTATGATGAAAGTGGGATTTGAATGGATAGGTGGTTGTTTATGACCAGTGCGATGTCATGGGTCAAAGGTCCTTTTTCTGTGCCATACATCTCTCTGACTCTACACTTTTAGTTATGCACAACTATTTTCTGAACGCAGAGGTCAACTGAATTAAAGGTGTGTCTGAATTTTTCTCAGTTTTTAAAACTTGTTGCAGGAGCCCTGTAAACAGATGTTTTGGGAGATCTCTGCAACAAAAATCAGGCAGCAATAAGTAATGAATACCAAAAATTCATAAGCTGTGGCATAAAAACATAAATTGCTGAAAAATCTTAGCATGTCTGGCAGCATCTGTGGAGAGAAATCAGAGTTAACGTTTCGGGTCCAGGAACCCTTCTTCAATGTCACATTCAAGGTGCTCTCGGTAACTCTTCAGCTATATGAACAAGGAGGGATTTTACTCTGGGAGATAGCAACAACTGTAGATGCTGGAAGTCAGAGTTGATACAGTGTGGAGATGGAGGAACACAGCAGGTCAGGCAGTATCAGAGGAGTAGGAAAGTCAACGTTTCAGCTTGGGATCCTTCATCAGGCCTGGGAACGGAGAAGGGAGCTCAGAAATAAGTAGAGAGAGGAGGGGTGAGGCTGGGGATAGGCGAATGCAGTTTGGAGGTTGTGGAGATTGGTCAATGGAAAGAGTGGGATGGATAGGTGAGAAGGAAGATAGACAGGTTGTGTCAGGTCAAGGAGGTGGAGAGGTGAGGGACAGCTGGACATGGGATGAGGCGGGGGGTGGGGAGATTTTGAAACTGGTGAATTCTACGTTGAGGCCATTGGGCTGTAAGCTCTCAAGGCGGAATATAAGGTGTTGTTCCTCCAGTTTACGCATAGCCTCATTGTGACATTGGAGGAGGCCCAGGATGGACATGTCGCCAAGGGAGTGGGAGGGGAAGTTGTAATGGATGACAACCAGACGGTGGTGTTGATTGGAGTGTACAGAGCGCAGATGCTCCGTGAATCGGTCAGCGAGTCTGTGCTTGGTCTCTCCGATGTAGAGGAGACCAGGTTAGAAGACGTACAGGTGAATCCCTGTCGGATTTTACACTATTTTGTAAATATTGACACCACTTGGAGAATCCTTCATGTTACTTTCTGGAATGAAGGAAGCTGCCACGATGTCTTCATGTTCTGCCATTTAGCCTTCCCTTACAGCTTCAAGAAAGAACCATATGAATGACTGGTTACTGAGTAACAAATCATAAACACTGCTGCCATTGCTAGTGATGACCCCAGTTTGACACCTCAATCTGAAATCAAGGAGCTGTCAATTCAAACACATGCAGCTATCAGATTGGTGATTGAAGTCATACCTTTATCTGCCTGGGTAAATTGGGTAGGATTCTGTTGTATGTGGCAGGCAGTGGGTCCAGAAATTTAACTTTTTTTTATGCCATTCATTGCTTTTCCATACAGAAAAGGTTGCATTTTGACATAAAGGAACCAAAGAAATGCAGATGCTAGAAATCCAAAACAAAAACAAAAATTGCTGGAGAAATTTAGCAGGTTTGGCAGCATCTGTGAAGAGAAAGCAGAGTTAAGGTTCAGTGACTCTCCTTCAGAATGCAATAGTAACATTTACACCACACAAATGCCAGGCAGTGACCATCTCTAATAAAGGGACACTCTAACCACTGCCCCTTGACATTCAATGGTGTTATGATCACTGAATCCCCCACTATCAGCATTCTGTGGGTTACCATTGACCAGAAACTCAACTGGACTTTCTACATAAATACAGTGGCTACAAGAGCAGGTCGGAGGCTAGGAATACCGCAGTGAGTAACTCACCTCCTGACTCCCCAAAGCCTGTCCACCATCTACAAAGCACAAGTCAGGAGTGTGATGGAATACTCCCCATTTGCCTGGATGGGTGCAGCTCCAACAATGCTTGAGAAGCTTGATGCCTTGCAGGACACAGTAGCTTTCTTGATAGGCACCATAATCACAAATATCCACTTCCTCCATCACTGAAGCTCAGTAGCAGCAATGTGTACTATCTACAAGATGCACTGCAGAAGTTCACCAAAGACCTTAGACAGCAGCTTCCAGACCTATGACCACTTCCATCTGGAAGGACAAGGGTAGCAGATACATGGGAACACCATCACCTGTACATTCCCCTCCAAATCACTCAATATCCTGGCATGGAAATATATTGCCGTTCCTTCACTGTTGCTGGTTCAAAATCCTCAAATTCCCTCTCTAAGGGCATTATGGGCTAACCTACAGCAGGTGGATTGCAGTGGTTCAAGAAAACAGCTTACCACCACCTTCTCAAGGCACCTAGGGATGGGCAATAAATGCTGGCCAGCCAATGACATTCTTGTACCACAAGCGAATAAATTTTTAAAAATTTGAGTACCACATTTTGACCTCCTTTTCCAACACTTGCAATAAAGTGTTGCTGATCCAGAAATTCAGCTCCACAAGCACTAACCAGTCAACTCAGCTCACATTATCGTGTGTAGGCAGAAAGGATACATTTCTGACTTACAGTAGGCTGCAACCATATTGGGTAAGATAGATGCACCAGTTCCAGGATTCCGTATCAGGAACACTTTACTCTGAGGAGATCTCCTGAGCATGTGTGAAAATGGCTATGTCAAAGCAATGTTAGAGCACATGGAAGTGGAACCTGGGTCTGTAGAGTTCCATGTTATAGAGTCAAAGTCATAGAGTCATCAAGTCATACAGCTAAGAAACAGAACTTTCGGTTCAACCAGTCCATGCCAAACATAATCCCAAACTAAACTAATCCCACCTGCCTGCTCCTGGCCTATATCTCTCAAAACCTTTGTTATTCACGTACTTACCTAAAAATCTCTTTTCAATGTTGTAACTGTTGATTCCCTGTACAAACCACCATCTGTGTAAAGGAATTTGCCCCTCATGTCTCCTTTAAATCTCTCTCCTCTCACCTTAAAAATATACCCCCAGTCTTGAAATCCCTCATCCCGGGGAAAAGACACTTAACGTTAACTCTATCTATACCCCTCATGGTTTTATACACTTCTATGATGTTACCTTTCTACCTCCCACTCTCCAATGAAAAAAGATCCCAGCCTATTCAGCCTTTCTTTATAACTCAAACCTTCCATAACCAGCAACATTCTGGTAAATCTCTTCTGAACCCTCTCTGGCTTAATAATATCCTTCATTTAACAGGGCAACCAGAACTGGACACAGTACTCCAGAGGCAGTTTCACCAATGTCTTGTACAACCTCAACATGACTTCCCAATTCCTATACCTATCGGGGTAGAGTTTTGTCAAATAAATTCTGTTGCTGTACACTCACGAGGAATGACAAACTCAAATCACTACATTGTTGAAAACAGAACTGACCAATTAAATGCTCACTTTTGAGGAGTAGCTCAATCAGCCTGACTCCTGGTAAGCACAAGCTTTGATGACTATCTTAAGGTGATAGGCTTGAGTTATGCTCTTCCCACAAGAGTACAATTTTCTCCATATCCATTATATATAAAGCTTTCACGATAAAAATCCATCCATCCAGCCAGCTGAGCTAACCCACACCACCTTAAAATAAATATGATCAGAATTAGAAAATAGCACTATCAAGGAGCACATGGCAGAAGAAGATGGAACTATTACTTTGCTTTACAATCTTTTTTGCAATCAATTCAGATTTCCAGTGTTTATGGTGCATTAAACAATATCTTACACTTTTTCCAGCCCTTGGTCGACTGTTATGTGCAACACATTGGATTCAACCCTTAACATATAGTATTTAACATTTGGAAGTGCTTTGAACGTATTGAAGTAGGAAAGATTTCCAATTTGTCCTAACAAGAACAAAAAAGCAAAAAGGAAGTTAAATATGGAAACTAAAATGCGAAACAAAGGAAACAAAACAAAAAAAAAACAAACTACCAATAATAGGACAGCTAAGATGATGGAAAGCCTCTCGTAACTACTAAAGAGGATTATTCCAAACTCTTGAGTCCCTGCTTTTTTTACGTAACAATTTATAATCATCTAGTTTAAGCAAGGCGTAATGTGTTAAACAAGAATCCAACCATTAACAACTTGATTCCAGGAAGCCGCATATTTCGATCTGGGAAGTAATTGATACTATCTACTTAATGACCCATGTCCCAATTTCGTGCTGATGAAACAAGATAAAGATGACTAATTGCCTGTTTATTTGGATGTGCATGAATTCTCGCCTACCTTATCGCACCGTGACTGCAACTTCACCCAGTCCCTTTCTATCCAGGGTTGCGCAACACGGTTCGCTACAGACAAAGCTTATTGTGGAAATCGGCTTAGACAGTCTCTATAGCAACTGCGAATCATAACAGAAGAGTGAGGGCTTCATCAGTGAATCATCTTCGTGATGGTAAAACCGAGGCAAATAGGTCCTGAGAAGGAGGACTCTTACCGTTCTCTTTCTGACCTGGTCCGCCCAACGCTCACTTTGAGCATCAAAAAACTCGAAATCCCCGCATGGGATCTGATTGAATGTTCCACATCCCAGGCAGATCAGCGCACTTTCAGATGGTTTCTAAATAAGGAGGCTCGGCTCTTGACGAGAGTAAGCGATGCACTTTGTTTATTGTCTGTAATGTTGATGTTTGTGAACTCATCGGCTCTGTTTATATGAATACTTTTGTGAACAGTAGAGCAGTCAACTGGAAACTATTGTTCCTTTTGTTTCCATTTGAAATTGAGGCTTACCTTTTGGTGTTATTACCCAAGGAGAGAGAAAAAAATAGTAAAACAAAACCAGTATTATGAAGCAATATTCATTCTCCATGATATAATGTGCCTAATAATAACTCTACATTAACTAGTATCAGTCAGCATAAGGGCAGTGAATTTCTTGTGTTCTGCGACCATATTTTCATTCAGTAATGAGCCAGTTTAAAAGGTGTGTGGACATTTAGCTGAATAGCAAATGAGATTCTAAAGGCCGACTTCATCAAGATAAGTCTGCCCAGGTTGAATGGGAAAGTCTGTTAAATGAGTAAAATCACATTGGATCAGCGGGAGCTGTTCAGAGATTTTAACGTGTTACAGACAAATTTAAACCGGTTAGGATTAAGAGTTCGATTTGACAACAACGGAACCTTGGGTAGCTAAAGTCACATCAGACAATATCAAATTGAGGAGAGAAAGCATACAAAAATGAAAACTAAAACACAGATCCCAAGATTTAAAAAAAAGACAAGTATCGACAGCAACAGCTACAAAACGGGGATGTGGAAATAAAATGACATGAGATTTCAAAACCATTCCGATTATTTATAAATGAATGAGGAAAGTTGACGTGTCAGGAGTGATTTGGGCCGCTTTAACGATATCACTTATCAGCTTATGAAAAAAAAAACGCGGACATGCTGAATAATTACATTGCATCACTACTTACAGGAAAAGGAGAGGATAGCATGATGGACATTCTAAGGTCACTAACAGTGGACTAGGGATTTGCAATCAAATTAATAGCAATGAACGCCTTTAGATGTATGTCTATATATATATTGTGTCTCCATGTTCTTCCTACCACAATGAATCATCCCACGTTTATATGCATTGAGATTAATCTGCCATTTGCCTGCCCATTCCACAAAATTGTAGACTCATGGATTTAGAGATGTTTATAGTGCTGATCAACAAAAATCTGACTGCACTAATCCCGTTTTCCAGCTTTTGCTTTGTAGCCCTGGAAGCTGTGGCAACACAACCGAATATCTAAATGCTGCTTATAAGAGTGAGTGTCTGAACTAACCACACTTCCAGCAGTGATTTCCAAACTCCCACCACCCTCTGAAAAACAATCCCATTCAAATCTCCCTTTAGCCTTCAACTACTTCCGACATTTATTTTTCCCCTAGTGAATTTAACAGATGTGTCACTGAGTGAAAAACAATTGTTATACGTAGCTATACATATATATTCATTGACTGTTTTAGACTCGCAATAATCCACCAGAAACTTCTCAGGTGTCAATGTTAGAAAATCACCGTTTCATGCAGCTCCTGGTGGGTTTGGAATATTAAATGTGAAAAAAACCTGATACAGTGACGTCAGTTTCCAAGGGAGAGGAAATCTTTCCACAATAGAATCGAGGGTTACACCTGTCCTACAAGATGTGTTCATGACTTTCCATGTAGCCAATAGTCTGTAGCTCATTCTGCGGTTACCTGCAATGCCAACATTTGTTTCTGGTAACTGTTTCTACCCTTCTTGTAAGACCTTGCAGGTCACGTGGTTTAACAGTGCTGAATCCAATTGCCTTTTAAACAAGACAGTTTTAGAATAGAGGTTCGTTTAGGGGTCGGCACTGCAACAGTCAACATCTACTGACAATATCAATTCGACTAACTCCAGGTTACAAAGAGAAAGCCTCTGACCCCTGACACAAAGACACCAAACTTGTATTTATGCTCTCTGAAAATAAAACTTCCATCAAAACAGTGAAGCAGACAGAATTCGTTTGCCAGCAAAACCTCCAGAAGACTTTCAAAGAGATTTTAAGTGTGGGAAAAAAAAGACCTGCTGCCAATCCTCAACTACTGATTAGCCAATCAAATCATCCCCACAAAAGAATTCCACATTGCGACTTCCAATTTTAAACTCCATTTGAAAAACAGGGACATTATTAAAGTGGCATCCTGGTTACTTTGTACTTAAATTGTTATTAATTGAATAATCACTTTATCCCTTCATGTATTCTTGTAAGACTGCCTGTATCACAGTGTTACCCTGGATCTTAAAGCATGTGAAATACACACTACTTCTGGTTTAATGTTAACAGATGTTGTTACAGCCCTTACAACGTCAAAGTCCACAAACAGTATGTGAGTGGGGGAGAAACATGCTCCCTCTTTTAAAGGGAGAAAACTAATTCCAATGTGTTTATGGACAAATGGTCAGAAAAAGGAGAGAGATTTGTTTTAAACCTTGCAAACGGTTCATAACAAAATGTCCGACTGTGTTTCTTCTTTACTGTCTAAAACATTAAATAACAAGATTCAGGAACAAGCTTTCAGTCTTTTCAACTGTTTCATAATCTGAAGACTGTTCTTCTGAAAGATTCAGGTAAACTTTCATAGCTTTACCTGGCAGAACCTATCAAATTACTTTGGGCACTTCATCTTTCTCAAATGATACAAAGTATCTCTCAACTCCTTCTTCTGTAAATGTAATAATTAAATTGAAGATTCTTGGTTAAAGTCAAACTTCCACATGAGAACTTCCTCCTCATCCAAACGATTAGACTCCAACACCCAATGATCCAAGAGTCTCTTTATGCGAGTAATTGCTTTGAGTTCGTTCTCTGTGAAGCTCTGTCTCTTTTCTTAGCCTTTTCTTAACTTGCTACCCTCTCTCTCTCTTTGAAGTTCAGTTTGAAACCTTCATATTTCTTTCTTTTCTTGATCAATCCTTTTCATTCCAAATTTCAAATCTTTTGCTTTTCCTTATCTCTTTCTTGTTTGATCTATTTCATTTTTCTTGCTGCTCCCACTGCAATTGAATTCCATCTAATTCAACATAACCACCATTTGGATTAATTTTCTTCCTTCCATTTTCAAATCCAGCACCAGTACCTCAATCATGTCTGATTTATTTATTTATTTATTTTGCTTCTGCTTTTAATTCTGGATAGAATTTTTCTGCTAATACTAGTAAACTTTCCTTGTTTTAATTTCTTTGCAGATTTTTCAGGGATATATCTACTTTGTTTCTCCAGAAAAGCTGGAAGATCTGTAAAGCCATTTCGGTATGTGTAGCAAAATTCACTGCGAAAACTCAGTCGGTCCTGGCACTTTTTGTGGATTTCAGATCCTGCAAGTGCCACTCAAATTGTGTTATCATCTCTGTTGATAAGCCAGATTTATATTACATTTTGGATAGAGATCAATACTTTATCTGCAGAAACATTGAGATACCAGGCACTTGCTGAAGTAAGAAAACCATAAGATTCTATAGCTCTGAACAAAAATAAACTTAACAATACAAGGTTAGAACAGTAAATCAACCTAAAATTTATATACAACTTTGTAGAGTACATGCACTCTAACATCTAGACTTGACAATGGGTTAACAGACAAACTGTGGTTGAACACCCCACAGAGCACATTAAATAGCTAATATCCGCAGGACAGGTCTATTTCTCAGCAATTCCCAGATGTTAGACACACGGTGGGTAACCAAATCTCATGAAACCTGTCTCCTTTACAACAGATTCAAATTCTTCACCTTTGAAGACCTAGGTCGGGAACTCTCCCAAATGCCAATGATTATGCATGTCCAGGTAGTCCAGTCTTTTCCCTTGAGACTGTGTTGCATTGGAATTTTGAGACTGCACACCATTCATGGGTACTGTTATTAAACAGCTAGCTTCACTAAGCTGGCACTAACCCTGGTACGTCTTTGAGCTTTAATATTTCTCAGCCGTGCCAAGCAGTTATTGTTTATGGGCTTCCTTCATGCCCACTCCCAGCTGTATTGAACTATCAGTGGCTTTCAGGGACTTCTTCCCTTAACTGCATGGAGTCTGCTTCACTTGTGCTACCTGAAGCCAGTTCCTTCCTTCAGCATTCTCACGGCTTCAACCTGCCATGACCTTCTCCCAGCAAACACACACCCAGATTAGGTGAAATCATAGGATTGTCTTATGCTCCATCTGTCTCCATGATGACACTACCTGGTGCTTTTAACTTGACCTTTAAAGTTTAGTATTCCCACTTGCAATTTCTTCTTCATGAAGTTGTAAGTTTTACACCCTTTCAAAGCTCTGTTTTCAAGCCAATTTAGTTCTAACACCCAAGATAAATAAACTCTTCTATTCTGATTCAAATAAGCAAACATGCATATCCTATTAAATTAGCATGAATCAATGTTTGATATACACCAGACTTCAGTGTGTTTCATTTGCAATTATCCCATTTTCTACTATTAAACATTTATCCCCAAAACTAAAAAAGATGTGCTAAAACACAATCAACCCTTAATTATATACTTATAACACTTATATTTGGGAATATTTAATACCAAGCCTTGCCCTTCACAGAAACAGGTCACTGTTATAGCCACAACTTCACATTTGCACATGTCTATGTAACTGTAACTCAATCTTATCACATTCATGTATTCACATACACGTACATTGACGCAATTTAGACTACTACTTAGTACCTTCCTATGATGCCCCTAATAACATTCTATTCTTTATTTATATAACTATTCTAGTGCTATAAATCTGTCAATATTCTGTGTGGCTTAGTCTTGATGATGATGTTTTATGATGACCATGAAACTGTTGTTGATTGTCAGAAAATCCATCTGGTTCACTAATTACTAATTCACTAATACTTCAGGGAAGAAAACTGCTGTCGGGCCTACATGTGACTCCAGACCGTCAGCAATGCGGTTGACTATTAACTGCCATCTGGCCAATTAAGGATTGGCAATAAATGCTGGCCCAGCCAGTGATGCCTACATCCCATGAATGAATAAACAAAGTCTTCCTCCATAATATTTCCTCTTAATTAATGCATCACTACCAAGTTACCTCAACCCGTCCACAACAGCATGAACAAATTGTCTTGCAAGAAATTCAGATCAGCCATGATCTTATCTATATGCTCACATATATACATTTATTCTAAGAGTGAGAAAAACTAATTGCGTTATTGGACACATTATGGGGACAAGTTGTCTTCAGTTCTGTTTGTTCCATAATTGATATAGATACAGGTATATTGTACTCTTATTTATTAAATCATTATTAATTGTTTGTATTTATGGAATAAAATTGTGCCAAATACCTATATTACTCAAAACACAACATTATAAGCTTTTGTTTAAACAGTAGGTGCCTTACACATGAACCAAGCTGCTTGAACAGCCATTGACTCGAATTAAAACAAGTTAAAAAACAATGTTGGAACATTATACAGAAGAATATGAGATACTAACTTGAACACATCCAAATGGAGTCAAATTGTATTGTCATGAGATTAACAGAAGATTTCATGAATGACTGAACAGACACTGTTACATTTTGCATCCTAATTTTAGCTGGAGATTCCGTGAAAGATTTACTGCAACTTAAAAAGTTCTTTCACCTATTCTCCCAGATTCTCAAAAGATTACTCACTATTGAAGAAGTCTGCTAAATTCCTTTATAAAGCAGCACTTTCCACTTCCCTCCTACTATTCTAACCTAAAAACATTCAGACAAATTATTTCAATGATCTCTGTGCTCATCCCACTTTTGCTTCACACGAGATAGTTGATTGAGATTTTTGGAAACTATCTTTAACAATGTTTTAACACCACACCCATCCTTTGAGCAAGCTACCATACTTGTCTATATTTCTGATCTACTACATCTATGAAGTGCAGTCTCAGTGAGAGGTGAGTCACTGGAATTGTGCCACCTGGTGTATTAGCTTCTGACACTCTTCTCTTGCCATGACATGAGATTCAGAGTCCAGGTCTGAAGCCCATCCTGTGGAGGCATTGAAAGGGGTGCAAGGGAAGAATGTTTCTGTAGAGAATCAATGATTATCTATATACTTCCATAGTAACCCACTGGCGCTGGGAACAAACATAGTGAAGATACTGATCAGTGTTAGCTCGTTCCAAAGCATCTCCATCAGGACTTGGAAATGACAAAATCATGCATTATATTGCACCTTTAACATAGTAACAGAATAGGAGCATTGTTGATAATCAGTCACTAAGCCACAGAAAGAGATATCAGAACAAATGGTCAAAATCTTTGTGAAACAGGCAGGGTCTAAGAAGCATTTTAAAAGGAGGAATGTTGAAAGGGTTTAGAGAAGGAATGCTAGAGTTTAGCACAAAACCAACTAATTCAAAAGCCTTCTATTGAAACAGTGGCATCTTCAATACCAGAAGCCACCAATGCTGGAAAAGCTGCTCTTTAATGCTGCAGAAGTACTCCAGGCTGTCATAGGCTCGAGCATGTTGATGTAGTTGTGGGACTTTTTCTGTATGGTGTTGCAGATGTACGTAGTAAATACCAACCACTTATTTGTTTATTTAAAAATGTATCTACACCACTTCTTTACAATTAAAACAAAACATTAGAGCTACTGGAAATCTGAAACAAAAACAGAGTGGAGTGTCGCCCCTGGGTTTCTTGGATAACATTGGTTATTTCTGCACCTTCTGTGGCATTTTTCCTGTCTTCGACATCTTGGTCTTTGTTCAGTGTTTCGCTCCCTGATGGTGCTTCCTGTGTATAAGCTATTCTTCCCCCAAAGTGGTTGCCTTTGTTCTGGGGCTTGGACAATTGTGTGTCTTGATGCAGTTGGTAACAAAGTGGCAAGTGTGCGTCAGGCAGTTGATTATTCAGATAAGCAGCTTGGATGGTCAGGAGTCTGGCCATTGTCTACTGCTCAATCACTTGTTAATATGTTTGTATGGAAATTGTGGCAATGCTGTGGCTTTGGGAGGTTATTTTGTCTTTATTTTTGAAGAGCAGTTTTAAGGAAGAGGTAGTGAGCAATCTACCAGAACCACTAGAGCAAATAGCTTGTAAGGCCTTGGGGCTTTCTTTATATAAACTGGAAAAATAGAAGCTGTGGGTGTGAAGAGATGTTCCCACAGAACCATAATCTTTAGTTTAGCTTTGAACAGAAGCTGAAGGAGTTGTCAAAAGCTGTCAGTTCTCTCTTTGCTACAGCTGAAAGCTGGAGTTCTCTTTCTCTCAGAATTGTCTTTTGATGTCCTGCATTGGAGAACTGCATGTGAGACAATCTGTTTTCTGAATTTGCCTTTTGCTATATCTGTGTTAATGGCATGATGCTATGCTGGAACAGTTAATTAGTAATAGTTACTGTATCTATTGTTCTGTTGTTTTCCAGTGGAGTTAAGATATTCCAATTCCTTCTTTCTATTGTTGTATTTTACCTATAGTGGATGAATAAAATCTGTTTTGCTTTAAATCCGGTAGATTAATCAATCGAATTGCATCTAGAATGCAACCTTACATTTACCTTTTAAAATAACAAAAAGTTAGGGCCTAGGCTATCTTCTGAATAATTTGAGGGGGTTTGGTCTGGTCCATAACAATATCCAATAGGATTTTGTCCATCCCATTTGACGGTTATGATGTGCATTTATTTTCCCTGTCTGAACATTTATTAGAATGAAATTTATTAATGGAGCACTGGCATCATCCTGGTACATTACTCCTACCTTCAGGAAAAGGAAAGGTGAAAATTCAAAGTGCAAAAATGAAATTAATTTTAATACTGTAATGAACCACATATACTTTTCCTTTTTGAATTATGAACTAGAAAATGGAAGTCTGACACTGCTATACAGCTTAAAAGTACAGGAGTTGTATTACCTGCAATCTGAAGATCAAGTGGGATTAGATGGTGTATGCTTTAGCAATACAAGACTATGGACAGAATCTTACAGGGGTCTGAGTGACATGGGCTATGGCAAGATTTCTGGCAGAATTGGACAAGTCCAGTGATGTTTTCTTAATATGTTGGGAACTTCACATGCATCGTTTATGTTTTTGCTAAGCAGTGAAGTAGGTTTCTCACTAGGCAGCAGAGAGTAGCCAATTAATGGGGTTATTGCTTGTTAAGGCAGAGTATTATCTGAATGGTTTGTTGGCCAACAATTGTCAGTGAAAGACGGGAGATCATCTTGCTACAGAGCTACGTTCATCTCTCACCTGCACCATGCGCCAGCAGCTTATGTGGCAAACACACTCCATGTGCACCACGCAATCAGTGACTACTCTTCACTGAAACACATGGAGAGACCCATCAGTCAGAGGGGTCCTGGCACAGTCAGTCAAGAGCATCCTCCCATACCAGTCCAGGGGATTGACCCTGTTCTTGATCAGGCCTCTGCAGTCTGCAGTACGAATCACAGTCAGCCCTATGGCTCCACAGTGGCCATTCTGAGGACATAAGGCAGCTCCCCACCACCTTCCCAAAGGCAGCTGGGGATGGGCAAGAAATGCTGGCCATCCAGCAATGCCTACACCCCAGAAATGAATATAACCAATACAACAGGTCGGAGCACAGAAACTAAGGGGAAAGGAAATGTGTTTGTGTCAGAAGTGGGAAGTGTTGGTGGGAGGGGTAGTTGTGAGGTGGGATGGGGTTGGGGGAGAGGTAAGGGGCTCCCCATATGGAATGGCAAGGAGACTTGGAAACCTATTTTCTGTGATTGGTGGCTGGAGGGTGGGCATTAGAGAATGATGGGAATGGGGTCATGCAGAGGGTTTCGTCCACAGTCGGGAGCACCAGGGCTTCAAGGAAAGGACAGCACATGACTGTGTGTGGCACGGTCACCTCATGTCAGGGTCTTGGGGGTGGGGGTGCAGTCATGGTGGTGTGTGGGCGGAGCAGGGCATGGGCCTGGGGGGAGTGTTGAGTGTGGGCAGGTGCAGGCTCATGTAGACATAGATTGGGCAAGGATGTGCGAAGGCTATGGGCAAGGGCTATGAGAAAGTGGACCTGGAGACTCAGGGCCTCACTGATACAGAAAGGCAGAGGCTGCAAATTACTGGCTGAAGAGTGTTTTGTGTCACCTTTCAACAAAGTGGAAATCAGGAATACGCAACGGAAGAAAGAGTGACTGTGACCATGAGAAAGACCTGCGGGGTTCCTGATCCCTAGCTGTCCAAACACATCAGCTCCCTCCATTCTCTGCATCTTCCTGTCCCAGGCATCACTGCCCAGGTCATTCCCACCAGCAAGTTTGGACACATAAGCCAGGGAAAGAACCGGGATATTTTAGGGCAAGGGGCAATGGTATCAGCAGGATCCATTGCCCTGAAAACATCTTCATTCCTCTTGCTTCCAGATGCTGTAGCTGGCTCTCAGCACAGCCATCCATTCAGTGTGGACATGAAGCTAGCCACCAAGCTGGTTCAGTTGCATTTGGGGCTAGAGAGGAGCTCAAACAAATGAATGAAGAGGCAAAACATTGAAAATATATACAAATGTGAAGATTTGTGGACAGTGCAATCTCACCCTTAACATGAAAATGCTCTCAACAGGTTTTGTTCCTTCTCTCCCTCCCCCCTATATCCTAGAGCAGTCCATGTTCTGCAGCTGGGCTAGAAGCAGCCAGCTTGGAAGTGGAGCCTGTTGGCCCTGGAGATTGGTTGGGTGACTCCAGGGACGTTTGTGCCTCTGTCTGTGCCATGCTGAGGTTGTCTTGCCAGAGGCAAGTGAACCGTCCTAGGCTTCCAAAGGGTGGAGGAGTGGGGGTGGGCTGGGTGGAGCTGGATTGGCCTGGTCACCTCTGGAGTGAGAGATTTCTGGGGAACCTGTGTGTGGTTTCCCTCTGCTGGCTGTGTGTCTCCTGACATAGCCCTTCCCCCTTTCTTAGGAAGGGCATCTTGAGTCCTTTCGTGACCCACTTCACCATGCCTTTGGTCCTGAGGACCACTGGGGTGGGGCAACAGATGGATGCACCTTTCCAGCAGATGCTGAGTGTGGGTGTCCATGGCAGCTGCCAACCAGTACATGGAGGCAGACAGATGAGCATGACTCAGAGATAGTAGGAACTGCAGATGCTGGAGAATCCGAGACAACAAGGTGCAGGGCTGGATGAACACAGCAGGCCAAGCAGTATCATAGGAGCAGAAAGGCTGACGTTTCGGGCCTAGACCCTTCATCAGAAAGGGGGGAGGGGAAGGGGGTTCTGAAATAAATTGGGAGAGAGTGGGAGGCGGATAGAAGATGGATAGAGGAGAGCATGACTCGCTGTCCTTCTCAGCAGTGAGGGTGCTTGCATCCCACATCTCTGTCTGCTCTTCCTATTCCTCCCTCTGCATGTGGACAAGGTCCTAGATTACTGACACCACTGCTGGGTCCTCTCCTGCCTAGGCCTGAGTAGGTACCTGGTCACTGGCAATCCCAGTGGCCTGGGGCAGTTCTCCCTCAATCAGCTGTGCAGCTTTTGTAGTGAGGGTCTCACCAACTTGTGCTTCCACACTTTCTAACGTTCTCACCGTTAGTATGTGAGGAAGTAAGGGGGTCGGTCACAGGAATCAACCTTTCAAATCCTTCCTCTGTGACCTCTGTTCTCTCATAATGGCTTTCGTGGGGAGCTGGTCATTTCTCTGCAGAGGTGGTGGACATCCTGGCAGTGCCCACAAAATAAGAGACAGGGAATATATTGTGGTCTGTGGTTATAAGTAAAAGTGACACTGGAGTTAGTGTGTGAGATGCAGTGGAATGAAAAGTGGTTCTTACTTGTTCTGAGGAAAGGTCACTCAACCCAGAACATTACCTCTGATTTCTCTCCACAGATGCTGCCAGACTTCCTTAGCTGCTCCAGAAATTTCTATTTTGGTTCTTACTTGATTGGTGAGACATTAATGTTTCTGCAGCTCATTCTCTCCTTATAGGGGATAAGCAGTCTTTTGTGGGCTACCGTCTCCTGGATTGACAGAAAGGAAGGGATGAAGCAAGATGAAATTGGGTGGCACGGTTGGTAGTGTAGCTGCAGGTAGGGGAAAGGTGCTGAGGTGTTCAGAGAGAGTGAGTAGGCAGAGCTGAGGGCATGCAGGGCTAGTGGTGTGGGAGATTGTGGATCAACGAGAACAAGTGAAGAAAAGTGTTACAGGCAGTAGTCAGAGTGGCAGAGCAGGCAAGTGGGTGATAGATCAAGGGTGAAGTAGAGAGAAGAGTGTGGCACTTACACTGGCAGAGCGGAAGACATCATTGACCTTCTTGAGGCACTGCTGGCCTTTCCACCACACTGTTGAGATGGTACTGTCTTGGGTAGTAGCCTCAGATGAGGTTGCCAGAGCCTGGTGATATACTGCTTTCTGTCAGTCTTCTGAGAAGAGGATGCCCCTCGTTTGTATCACCTCTCCACCAGGACCACCTTGTCCCTTTTGGAGAATCACAGTACTATCTTTTCCTTCTTTGACATGTTCAGATACTGTCTCAACCAAGCCTAGCAGCTTCAGAATGCCAGTGCTCATCTGGGTGCTGAGCAGATTCTTAAATTTAATGTTGGCACCAGGATGTTGGTCTTTGGGCGAATGACCAGTGAGTAATTTGTGAAAACCCAATAAGCAATCCATTCTGGGAAAGGCGCATATTGATATGGGAATAGAATTATTCATGTGGGATATAATCAGGACACAGTAGGTAATTAATGAGGGGCATTTGGTAAGACACAGTGAGAAATCTTGCTAGGCCTTTTAGTGTGAACCCCTCAAAAACAAATTCAATGTAATTTGCATTCAGGGCTGAATCTTACAGCATTTAGTTATTTTATGCCCTATGTTACTTTTTGGAACGGAGGGATGGATATTTTGAGACAGAGTGCATCTAGATTCTTTGAGTTAAGGAAAAACTGTCCAATGACAGCCTATGAATTGGTCCAATTACAATTTGAAACAGACCTGTTAATGGACTAATGTTTTTTTCGACTGTGGATTGAAAAGGAAGCTATTATTTTAAAGCAAGGTGACTGTGAGCAAATAGATGGCTGCAGTTTTTAAAACTATGTTCTCTGGAGCACACTGTGACTTATATGCTGTACAATGTTGCTTTCTTCTGGAATATTGAAGGTAGAAGCAAACAACACAGAGCCAGTGTATTCAGAACTGAGAGAAAACCACTTGGCAACAACTTCTGATTGTCTCCTGACCAGGTGACCATTGTTTTGGTAGGAGCAGTGTAGCAGACAACTACTTAGCTTGTAAAGAGAAAGTATAAAAAAAACTGTCTCTCTCGTACGTTGAGGTACTAGAAAGTCTCCAGTAACTGCCAGCTATCTTCCATTCACTTTTCTCTGAAAATTCCCTGTTGAAAAAGGAATAAAATCCTATCTAAAGACTATTCTCAACTAGAGAATAAAAGAGAGCACTGATGTGCCAACAATCTTGTGTCAATACCAAAAACTCGAAAGAAAGGGCAGTTCATTAAATCCTGAGATCCAGACTGGTGCTATTGAACTGTAATCCCTGGTCTTTATCTTTTTCCACCCTTAATATTCATGTCTTGCTTGTATTGTGTGTCTGTCTGTTTGTGAAGAAGGGAATTTAAGAAGGTATAGAGTTGCAGGGTTGTAAGTTAGCAACTGATGTTTCCTAATTGCTATTGTTAAAGAATAGTAGTTTGTAATAAACAGTTATTTTCCTGTTAAGTACAGGTGAGTACTTTCTTTTAGCCTGAGTTTGTCAGTTAGATAAACTGGGGATTTTGGGTAGTTTGACTAAATCTTTTCACATTTGTGATGTCTATGGGAATAATGGGGCTTGATGTCCAATCAATCATGACAAAAAGTAAGGAACTGCAATATGTCATTAAGAGCGAACTGTGTAGATCATTAAATCTTCCTTTTTGTACTTCCAGAATCCTGCATCAGTGAACAATGCCAATAACATCCTGGTTTAAATGGAGCAAGCCTATTCAAAATTACTCCCAGAGGAAACCCACAGATGTGATCATTGAAACCCTCATGATGGAACTTAGCTGGCAGATGAAACAAGCTGAGAAGATGCAGAGAGAACGGGAGAATGAGTACAGGAGGATAAAAACAGGAGTAGATTACAGCTGGCTGATCAGTCATCCCAAACATAGTTACGAAGTGTCTCCAAGAGAGAGGCTAGAACTTGAAGAGGCTTGTTCCAAAATCCACCCTTCTTACTGTGGGCCTCTGGTACTTAGGTAATGCTTCTGCACACTGATATTTATACAAATTGCATGGATCTTTCTACCAGCAGGTTTGCAAAATCTAAGCAAATTGAAGGATCTTAAAAGGCTAAATACATTAGAATCAGATTGAATGAACTGTTAAAGCTTTCCTGCCAGTTAAAAGACAGTCAGAATCTGTTGGGATGCAGGGGTCAAAAAACACAAGGTGTTGAATATTATGTTTTTTTTCACTAAGTATTGAGTTTTCTGGAGGGATTTCTGCCATGAAGCTTACTGAGATTGCTGGTTAACTACGTCTTAAAAACACACTTCATTAACCACCAACCCTGCCTTAATGACATCCCTCACATCCAATTCCAGCCCCATTTTTGTCACATGCTGGTCCCAGAGCAACTCGTCACTCAGTGAGTATTCTAGAATTCACCAACATCCCTCATGCCCATTCCTTCTTTAAAAATCTATTGGGTACCCAGTCAAGCCCTGTCAGTCCTGGGCTGCTCTGCATGGTTCTTGAAATTTGCCTCAGATGTGGCAAACAGGGTCAAACCACCTCGCTTTGTGTGCATGGACCTGTAGGTCCTGCTGGTTGGGGTGGCGCTGAGCTGGGACTTCTTTACCAACCACCACCAGCCACTCCAGGCCAGCAAAGAGGTCCATGACATGAGGTCATGGCCACCTTGTCTGAGGGTGCCACCAGGGTTAGAGAACTCTCAATTGTCTGGAGGAACTAACAACTCCATGGGAAGAAGGCTTTCTGACCTTGACCACTCTATCAGCATAATGTTCTCTTTGATACCTCATCCTCACTCCGTATTTGCTCCTGCTGTGCCTCCCATCAAAGCATTAGCTTTACCAGTCTCACTCTTCCATCAATTGCACTAACCCCGCAAGCCCTTTGTGCCACCTATTCTCTTGTTTGGGACACCTCCCCATCTGTATTCAAAGTACATAGTTATGCCAGCCACTTTCATCTTCTTTAATACCTGCATCTCTCTCATTCTAGGAGGAAAACAACCCCAAAAGGACAGAGAGAGTCAAGACAGATGGTGGGCTGCCCAACCTACAACTCCTCACCCGTTATGTGGAGACCATCCTGACTGTGACTAAGCCCGAGTGACTAAATGAATGTTTCCAAGGCCCTAGACATTAAACAAAGTCTGCCCTTGACTGCTGTATTGGGAGATCCTGAACAAAGACTATCCCCTTGACTGAGGCCTGCTTGACAGCCAAGACAATCTTCCTTCCTTTCTGTCAGTGATAACCCAAAACAGAAGTCAAATGAGTCTGGAGTCTGTGCCTGATGGGGCAAAGGCTAGGCAAGGCAATTCAAGGCAGAGATGTTCACAGCATCCAGGTAGGGTCACTATGAGTGAGTACAGTGACAGTGAGTGGAGAGCCTGAAGATGCAGACTACTCAGTCCACATGCTAGGTATGCGTCACTGAGTGCATAGTGTCCATGCAGTAGCATTACAATGATAATTGCTGAAACATCTTGCAAGTGGATTAGAGATGTGCTCTGAGGGATCTTAGGGACTGGCACATGTCTGATGCCCATGTTGATGGGAATGGGATATATGTGACCTGTTGCCTATGGTGTGTGCATTGAAATGTTGTTGGCCAGTGTCCAACATGGAGGTTGTTCAGAGAAAGCAATGAATTGAATCTGCCAGGTACCTGCAATGGTTTACATGTTGAATTTTCTTGATGACAAGCTTGTTTGGTGAGTTTTGTCAACAAGGTGTTTGTCCAGTAATAATCCCCGTTAACTGGCAACTCACCATGCCAATTGTGGAAAGCATAAAAGATGGAGCGAGATGCTCCCAACATGAAGGTTGCCTTCACTGGACTTTTTGTCTGATTCTGCCACTAATCTGATCATAGTTCACTTTTCTCAGATTCCTGGAACATTTTGCACCTAGCTTTGTTTTCCCTCATTTCTGAAGGGTGCCTGGCCACAGAAATCTCTGACTTCTGTTGTCTTCCTTCCCTATCCCCACTCTTGGAATCTAAGATCTCTGTGAGATGCACTTGGAATCCAATCCCACCAGCTGTGAGTCAGTGGGTGTTTCAGGCTGCCTAATTTTATATTGTTCGATACTGACCCCTTCACCCATTCTGGTGGGAGGTCAGCCAATGGAATTTAAAAGTGGCCTGAATATTAATATAGTACCACTTCTAGAAATGTAGGTCACTTACCAATTTTTTTTCCCCATGTATCTGCCCCAAAACTCCCCAGGATTAACATTGTGGCACATCCTTGTAAAATGACAATTTCAGTCATGTGCCAGATTAGGTGGATGTGCCTTTCTATCTCATCTGTTTCACTGCTGTTTCCTTCTTATTGTCCCGTTCTCTCAACTTTAATGAGTTGAGATAAAAAACTAATTCATTTTCATTCCAGCTTTTCTAATCATCATTTAATCACTACATGTTTGTCAATTAGGTCCTCAAGATCTGCTAATCTTTGTTCCAATGCAAATACTGAATTCAGTCACGCAAACTCTAACACTATATTCCCTGGAATATTAATTATGTGTTAAGTATACATCTCAAAGGACCACACCACTACTTATCCCATCTTTTGTCCTTCACAATGCAGGGTCTGAGACTCACTTCTGCATTTCCACCTTTGTGCACCTATCTATCCGTCTATATTTTTAACAAAATATTCCCACCCATGAGCTATTATGCTGTTAACTGCTGTCAATTTCATCCCAGTGCCCAGTTGATTTCCAGTGCTAATCCTCTCTTCATATCTTTCAGTTCTCATGTTATTTCTTTAGTAGTTTCATGGCACTAACCTGAAATTGGTGACTTGTTGTTTAAAGCACTTATAATACCATCGTTTGTTTATTGTGCTTTATAGATTTCCCAGTTGAGATCAAAAACAGTGGAATCAGTTTGATAGAGAGGTAACTGGGGGGAGAATGTGGACTAAGAAGTGGTAGAGGAGAAGAATAATTCCTTTATTCTTTTTAATGATAGGTTTGAAGAGATTGAGATAGTAATACATTTTGACAATTATGTGTTTTGAAACAATAATAAATTACCCTGAGATCAAATAAATTTCAAGTCGTTCTCCACATGTAAACAACTTCCTGCAAAAATATGAACAATACTTATCCAAAACAGGAAGTCATCTTGGAGGCAGTCAAAGAACAACATGGGTTTTATATCTCTTTTTATGCAATTTAAAGAAAGAGACCATTTAGTGTCTAATTTGATGCCAAGATGAACTTTGGGAGCTTATTATCCTTCAATCATTAGATGTACAATGACAGAGGCCTTGTATTTTAGTTAATATCCTGATACATTTTGATATTTATCCTGCAACAACATTTGCTTCCATTGTTTGCTTTTCCCAAACTATAACTTTTGTCCTGAAGTTTCTTTGTGATCAAAAGATGAGATTTGCAGCACATGAGTCTAACTAATTTTGATCTACCCAAATAGTTTAACCATAATGCCAACAATTGCTGTTCATCTATTTTGTATCAATGTAAAAGTATATCTATCTCTTTACTACATGAATCCTGCAAAATAAAATTTTGGAAGTGGAAATATAGAAAATCGGAGCAGGAGTAGGTCATTCAACCCTTTGAGTTCAGTCTGCCATTCAGTATGATCATGGCTGATCATCCAACTCAGTACCCTGTTCCTGCTTTCACCCCATATCCTTTGATCCCTTTAGGCCACAGGCTTATGTGTTAGATAAAGAGGATGGAGACTACACCATTGCTTTGATTTTTGCCTGCTGCTCTATGACCCATCATGCCAAAGCCAGCCTACACCTTGGCTGGATTTCTCTCCATATTGCGATGCCAACCTACAATCTCACTGAAAATGGAGTATGCACTAATGTCCTGATCACCTCCTCTGATCAGGCAGCATTCTCAGAAATATAATATACAGCATTACGATACAATCACGCAGCACAGTTTTCCAAACTGCTTCCAAACATAATCCTTAACTTCAGTATTATCACCAACGAGAAGAATTAAATCTTTTGAATGACCAACATTAGAAGTAAATACAAAGTACTGAATGTAAAGGCTCAAATTTGCTGTGATTAGTGTAAATTGCTTATCCTGATGGCTCTATATTACTAAAATGATTAATACCCTTTAATAGTGCGATTCAATGAGTTGAAAGTTTAAGAACAATTCTGTTTCATCTTGTTATACATTCAAGAACTTTTCATTCAGTATTTGGTAGGATGAACAGAATGCACGTTGCCGTAGGAGGTGCAGCAATAACTATCCAAGCTACAAATACAGACACTTCTTCTCAACAGCGCTAAGATTAAGAGCAACTTTTCTAAAAAAAACACTGGCTGATCATTCATGGTGCAACTCAGAAAACAGTAAAAAGAGGAGTGTTAAACGATATAAAGTGCAGTGTCTTAGAAACTCAATGACACCCTGCGATAGAGTCATGGTTGCAGAGTTGTACAGCATGGAAACAGACCCTTCAGTCCACCTCATTCATGCTGACCAGATATCCTAAATTAATCTAGTCACATTTGCCAACATTTGGCCCATATTCCTCCAAACCCTTTGTATTCATATATCCATCCAGGTGTCTTTTAAAAGTTTTAATTGTACCAGCCTCCACTACTTCCTCTGGCAGCTCATTCCATACACGCACCACCCCCTGCATGAAAATGTGGCTCCTTAGGTCCCTTTTAAATCTTGCCTCTAACACTTTAAACCTATGCCCTCTAGTTTTAGATTCCCCAACCCTGGGAAAAATACCTTGGCTATTCATGCTATCCATGCTCCTCATGATTTTAAAAGCTTCTATAAGTTCATCCCTCAGCCTCCAATGTTCCAGGGAAAATAGCCCCAGCCTAATCAGCCTCTCTCTACAGCTCAAATCCGCTTATACTGGCAACATCCTTATAAATCTCTTCTGCATCCTTTCAAGTTTCACAACATCTTTCCTATAGCAGAGAACCACAAGTGAAAGCAATATTCCAAAAGTGACCTAACCAATGTCCTAGGGATAGTAGAAACTGCAGATGCTGGACAATCTGAGGTAACAAGGTGTAGAGCCGGATGAACACAGCAGGCCAAGCAGCATCTGAAGAAGGGTCTAGGCCTGAAACGTCAGCCTTCCTGCTCCTCTGATGCTGCTTGGCCTGCTGTGTTCATCCAGCTCTACACCTTGTTATAACCAATGTCCTGTACAGCTGCAACATGACCTCTCAACTCCTATACTCAATACACTGACCAATAAAGGCGAGCACACCAAATGCCTTCTTCACTATCCTGTCTATCTGTGACTCCACTTTCAAGGAACTATCAACCTGCACTCCAAGGTTTCTTTGTTCGGCAACACTCCCCAGGACCTGCGCTGATTTACCTTATCAAAATGTAGCATCTCACATTTATCTAGATTAAACACCATCTGATCAAGATCCCATTGTAATCTGAGGCAACCTTCTTCGCTGTCCACTACACTGCCAATTTTGGTGTCATCTGCAAACTTACTGACCATACCTCCTATATTCACATCCTAATCATTTAAATAAATGACAAAAAGCAGTGGCCCCAGCATCAATCCTTGTGGCACACCACTGGTCACAGGCCTCCAGTCTGAAAAGCAACCCTCCACCACCACCCCGCTCTGTGGCCTACCTTTGAGTCAATTTTGTATCCAAATAGGAAGTTCTCCCTATATTCCATGTGATCTAACATTGTTCACCAGTCTACCATGAGGAACTTTGACAAAAGCCTTACTGAAGTCCATATAGTCCATGCCCCTTAGATTCAAAAGCAAATGGGTGTATCCAGTATGACAGGTGGGGTGTGTGCCCTAATTGTATGTCTGAAGTGCTGGACATCCAAGGTGCATGACAGAAGATATTACCTGCTGTAGACAAACAGGAGGCTGGAAGAACACTGCAGGCCAGGCAGCTTCTGGAGGAAAGGAGCAGTCAATGTTTCAGGTATTACCCTTCTACAGGACTGGATGTAGGGGTTGGGGGAGCTGCAGATAAAGGAGTGGGGGGGAAGGGGTGGAGGCAGAATGGTGATGATAGGTGGACACTGGTAGTAGGTACGACCTGGTTGGTTGGTGGGAGGGATGAATCCGGTTGGTGGCTGGAAGGGAGGGTCAGAAGATGGAATGGAAAGGAGAAGGTGGGGCTGGAAGGGGAGGCGGGGAATCGGTGGGAAGGTTATTTCAAGTTGGAGAACTCAATGTTGAGTCCTCTGGGCTGTAGGGTGCCTAGGTGGAAAATAAGATGTTGTTCTTCAAATTTGCATTCCAAGTGTTTAAAGAAAGGTGCTATGCTCTGGACCCTTTTATTTGAACATAATAAAGCAGGAGTAGGAAATTCAGCCCTTCAAGCCTGCTTGGTCATTTAATATGATCATGGCTGACCTCAATGTGGCTTCAACTTCACTTAGCTGTTGCTCTTCATAACCCTTCAACCCATAATTGATTAAAAATATGTCTAATTCCTCCTTAAACGTTTTGTGGATCCTGGAGTCCACTGTACTCTGGGGTAGTGAATTCCATGGATTCACAACTCAGAGAAGTAATTCCTCTGCATCTCTGTTTTAAATCTGCCACCCCATGGTCTAAAACTTTGATGTCTCATTCTCGATTGCCCCAAAAGGGGAAATGTCTGCTCTACGTCTACTTAGTCAATCCTCTTTAGAATCTTCTATCCCTCAATTAGATCTCCTTTCATCCTTCTAAACTCCAGAGAGTACAGGTCTAGGCTTCTCAATTTCTCCTCATAAGACAAGCCTTTCATCTCTGGAGTGAATCTAGCAAACCATTTATGATATTGGGCTGCCCCAGTGAATGACTTTTGTGTTACACTCACCAAACAACTCAAGTATTAATGGGCACAAAGAATAGTTCAGCTATTTCAAGGGTTCATTCACTACAATCAGATTAGTTGGTTTGACAATTGAGCAGCTTACTGGATATTTCTTGGCCTTTTTTTCATTGTGGAAACCAATTTCAAAGTGCTGACGGGGGAGTTTTTTTGCCATTGAAAGTAATTGTACTGAAGCCATGAGTAGTCTGTAGCCTTAGATGCCTGTAATCCATAAAGGAGAGTGTTACTAAGCTTTGCCACGTGCTACAGCCACAATGCAAATCCCAAATCAGGACCTAGGCACCAATATCTGTGCCTGTAAAGATTACTACAGTGCTGGCATCCTTTGCCAGAAGTCACATGATGCCAGGTTATACTTGAAATCACAAGCTTTTGAAATGTAGCCCCTTTGTCAGGTGAAGTGAGAGACAAGTACACAGACGTCTGACTTTGTCTGTCCCATTCGAACCCTGGCACCTCATGGCATCCTATGCAACAGAGACATTCAAGCCTGCACCAAATGATATCAGCAATATCTCACATTTTGTAGTCTGTAACACAGAGAACCAGGGGTCTCTGTGTGAGAAGGAAGCAAATTCTTGTAATCTCCACTTTAGATCACATTGGAGTGGCAAGGGTCAATGTGAGATCATGCAATTTATGTGAGAGTAGCATGTGCCTGCTACAAAGTGGGTGCATCTTGACCAGAGAAGGGTGCAGAATCATTTGGAAAAGTGTTCTGGGATGCCTTTTCTGGAAGACAGATGTATCAATCCCCTCTACTGGAGGGGTACTCTGAGAAAGCCTCTTAAGTATTTCTGGGGTCTTGTAAGCCAAAGAATTGCCTATTGACCACTGTGGGGTCCATGCTCTTAGTAAAAGAGCGGCTGCTGGGTAACAGTGAGGCTAAGGCTGCAGGAGGCTTTAGTATATGGATTGTCTCCCCTTGGACCTGAACAGATTAGGTAATAGCCTCAATTCTGGTATTTCCATAGCTACAGGTTCAGTTGAAAAGATGTACCCAGAGCTGAAACCAGATATTCCTTTGTCCTGCTCAATTCCTTTGAGGTGATGCCTCACTCCCAGCTGGCTTGCACTGGGAAAGAGTCTCTGACCCTACAGGAAATTGGAACATTGTTTCTCATCATATTTCACTGAAATTGCTGCTATTGTGATCGTCCGACTCAGTTGATCAACATTGTGGAATATCTCAATAAATGTAAAACTCATACTATTTCACTTCATACCAAATGTCACCAGATTTTTAAAAAAGCAGCAACCACAGGAAGTGCATGCAGTCCTAAGAACTTTAAGAAATTTAACCTTGTTAAAGAATCACTCATAATAATGACATTTGTCTTGTGTCTTGTCAGCTGGGCCTGGATGCAGTACTCAAGATGTGGTTTGACCATATCTCTGTACAGTTTGTTTATGACTTGCGACACATTGACTATATGTAACTGTTTTAGTCATGTTTCTACATTTGATTTTGCTTTGCTTTTGTTTAGTGTCAAGTCTATGAAGATGTTTTTCTTCTTGTACTGTCAATACCCGCCAACAACATTTGTTGTCAATATTTCCTTTTCCATCTTGTTTGGTACTTAGCCTTGTCTGCATTTTATTTCAATGATTGTTGATTTGACCATGTACTTTATCCAACACACTCTGGCCACTTCCTCCAATTCAATTTCTGCACTTGGGTAGAGGAACAAACACTATGATTTTCTGATCTTGAGTTTGCAATATATTTAGCTGTAGTTATGTTACTGAACAATTCAGTTCATTTGAGCTATAGCTTTTAATGTGCTGGTCACATCTTGCGCACACAGTTACTATTCTGTAGTGGACCTCAATGGTGAATGCTGCGAAACTATTTGACTGCAAGAAGCATCACCCCAGGACACAGGAGAATCACAGCTGAGTCCTCTCTTATCTGCACCTAGTATCTAGACAAGCTCACATTCACAGGTTTAACTTAAAAGTGATCAGGAGTGCCAACATTGATTATAATTTACTTAGTAGTGCAGCCTGATTTAACATATTTGCTATTAACCAATCAAAGTAAGTTTGTTGTGCTCAGTGGGGAACTACAGGAGAATTCAGGTGTGCTGACTTTCTCATCTTCACTGCCATGGAGCATGGTTTCTGCTGAGAGTGTAGGTTCACTTTGGGCACCTTAAGTCAAAGAACAAAATTATATATTTTAATAAAGATTTCTATTTGATCTCAGGTTTCGACAGGTGATTGCTGAATATGAGCCAGATGTTCACGAAGTAGTACAATTATTCCGGGCTGTTCTTCAGGATGCTTTTGAGCAAATGAAGGAAGATCAAGATACCAGTAAGCTAACCAGGCAATGGAACAAGAAACAGACATTGAGTCTCTCCACGACATTGTTTAAATCACGAGTAAGGATATATCCTTTCAGCAGTAATATCAAGACAGTGTCAGAAGATGTGGAGCAAGGCTTTGAGTCAGCCAGACGAGTATGGAGTATGCCGGAGTTCAAAACTGCTAAAGACTTCTGAAGGAGTGCACCATTTCTACTTTTCTAACAGACATTATGCTGTAGAAGTGATTAGATATCATATTTAAACACTAAACATTAGATTGATTCTTGTCTTTCAGTGATGTGACCGCTACGAATGTGCATGGCTTGCCCACTGTGAACTCACAGATACGAAGCTGGGTTACTTATTCTTGAGAATGTAGATGGAATTTGTTTCTGGCTATACTGTGAAATGAAGGATAATAGCTTAAATGCTTGTTTTAAACGGTAACTGATTTTCATCACTATTGAATACTATCCACACTTACTGCGGATAATTGTGATTTATTAGAATATGATATTGGTATTCTGTCAGTTTTTTGAGGACTAATAAAAAATCTATCAGTACTGTAAGTAATCTCACTGTAATCTTTTCCATAGATGAGTCTCTCTACAGCATTGTTGAAGTGAGAAATCCAGAATCATATGTTGATCATTTTCAGATGTATTTTGTAATGCTGCTTCATACCATGCACCTTGTTAAGCAATTTGAACAGTTAGAAATCATTTTTATTTTCATTGTCATCAAATATCATGAGCGAATGATAGTCAAGAATAAGCAGTGATGTGACTTTCCTCCCGAAGCCACTCCAACCCTCTCTCAATCAACATAAAGTTTCAAATAAGAGTTACATTCATTTTTCAGGAAATTAAATACTAATGGAATGCTTTGTACCCTTAGGAATTGTATTTTCTTGAAGCAGAGTGATCTTTCCCAAAGAGTAGGAAAGTTCATGATGTATTCAGATCAAGTGAGGCATTTGAGACTAAAACTGGGGAAAAGATGGGATTTAAACTGAACTAAATAAACTTTATTTCAATTCTTGTTGTTAAGCATTTCTGAACTTCTATTGCATAGCATTTCCTGTACCATGCATCACCCCGCCTTAATAGATTAACCATGGAATCAGTTCCAATAAGCCATTCAACAAATAGGCAACTGATTGTAGGAGAGTAGCCCAACATTGTTGTCTGTTAAAATATTCTCTCCTTTGTTTAGTAGAAATTTAGGACTGAATTTTACCAAAAATCAGCTAACATGATATCAACACAGACAAATACAGGTAATAAATTTAAAAGGGAGAGTGGGTAAGATGGGAAGAGTAAAGGTTTGCTGTTAAACAGACCTTAGAATCCTTGAGGTGATAGATTCTTAACTTGAGACCACAGTTTTTGTGGTTGACTTGTATCATCAGCAGAATGTGTAGACTTGAGTTCACAGATTTGGAAAATGGCTAATTTAATTTTTCACCGGAAGCTATATTCTGAGATGATGTGAGAAACAGGCAGGGAGAAAGAGATTCTAGCTCTGGTTGTCAAAAATCCATTTTTCCTTTTCTTTGTCCTGCTTCTCGAAATAACTGTTGAAACATAATTCAGTGTGTAATCCAAATTCTAGCTCCACTGTCTTTCTAAGCTGGCTAACTGATCACTGAGACCATAGATATTCTGCCAAAAGAATTAAAGAAATAATATATCAAGAAATACTACTGGCTTGCTGCTTGCCGACCCCATCTTACTCAAACACAAGATATCACAAAACATATGCAAACTTAGCCATATACTTGCCTTCAATAAAATCTTCCCCGCATGCTTAGAAGAGGAAGTTTGAGAAAGTGTTTCGGTAATCAAAGAACATCAACAATTGCCCACGCCCAAAATGTGTGAAGGCAATCTGTTTGGAGGTTGTTTTTTGCTCTGAAACCAACATCAATAATGCAACAATATTCAACATGAGTTACTCACAATATTTAAATGCTTTTCCTGTCATCCATAGTCCTTATGAGAGTTACATGAACTAGTGAGTCAAGTGATGTTGCAGAAACAAGCACGAGAGAGGTAAGGCAGAAGAGAATAAGTGACAGTTAAAAGAAATTCCATTAGATGTGAGTTGCCAGGGAAGGACAATACATTCTATATGGGTCTGAAAGAGTTAGTATTGAGGAAAAGTCATAAGCAACATCATTATGATGATATCATATAGACTTATGGGCAAATCAGCTTAGGATCTTGAAGGAGTAAGACGAAAGATCTGCTCCTCCTCAAAGTCTCTGTATCAATGTCCATCATATCAATGTAAACTGTGATCAGTTGCTAACAGGCTGTAAACTATATCTTGTTAACAGAAAAAAGATTCTTCTATTTAGGCCAGGAAATGGTTTTCCTTTACCACACTAGCCAAGCAAGCCCTTCACTTAGTGGCGGCAATTTTTGTACTATATAGTAGCTCATACAGTGGAGTGAGTTGGCGTGCCTGTAGAACATGGAAGGCAGTGGTATGCATTTACTTTGCTTGCACATACTACGCAGTGAGCAGTGCTTTGAAATCTTCAGACTCAGCTTTAAGTCGGCTGCTCATATAGTACAGTCAGCAGCAGGGGAGAGATGAAGATTTAAGAAAACGTTGTGGTAATCCTCAACAAGGAAGGTTACAACAGTGAGTGGGAAAAGCTTTTCAGAATTGGTAACACGTATTGCAACAGGAACGGTAACAACTCTCTGGAGGAGAATTACTAACTCCAAAGCAGGGAGACACAGAGTGTATAATGAGATGGTAGTCCTCGGGAGTGGTCCCATGTCAAAGTTCCGTGGTGAGTGAACAGATATTGGAGACTCTGTAAGTAAAGTTTAAAATTCCTGTCGGGCCAAGAGAATCTTTAAAATGATGTAGTAATCCTGGCTGGAGAGGTGAAAAGTTAAAAGAATTATTCAAAGATCTATTTAGCACCATCAACAGAGTGAACGGGCACCACAAGACATGACTACTGAGAAGGAGGTAAAGGGCCACAAAAGAAATATTAATTCAAGGTCAAAGATCCAGGAACATTGTGAAGCAAATATATACAGTGGTAAAGTTGGACACATTAACAACCTAAACAGACCTGGTCCAAAGAGGACAGAACATTTGGGACACTATATTCAGGTCATGGAAAAAGATCCTTCATGAGAGCCATGAAGAAAGTGGGAATCAGTCAGTAAACTATGATTAAATGTATGAGCAGTGGGATTCACAAAGTGAAGACACGAAAAATGTGAGAATCTGCTGTTTTGCATATGAAGGACAGGAATTTTTCTATTTAAATTCAAAAGGTAGGAAACCATCTTTTTAGTGAAAGTGGTAATATTTCACTTTAGCTAAAAAGCGTGGAAAATGCTGTAGCATGGCAGCAAAGAGCACCAGAATTGCTATAATTGCAAAGTAACAATCTTTTAAGCAAGCTGAATATTTAATCACATTAGAAAGATATAGCTTCAGAAATAATATTGCTAGGAACACTTAATTCAAAGATGGGCCAAATAGAACACTAAACTGGGTATGTTGGAGAAAACAATTTCAGAGATTCAAATTAGATAGTAAATCAGAAGCTGAACAAGTAAATGCATTTCTATACACAATTAAGGATATAGCTTATGATGTTATAGGTTTCCAAGAGTTAAAAGAAGCAAGAGATACTTTTGAAGACATAGCCCTTGACATAGGTTTTATTACATGCTCAGAATTTTTGAAAGAGCAAGATTTAATAGAAAAAAAAACAGTATCAAGTGGAATACTTAGATGATCTCCATAAACTAGTGGAGAAATGTGGATAAGGTGACTTCAAGTCAAAATGCATAAGGAATAGAATTTTTGTTGGAATTGCTGGTGAGTTTTGCTAATTCCCTGTGGTCCAAAGACATAACTTCACAGACAGCCATTTTGATAGCAAGTGAAGCAAAAGCATTGCAGATTAATCCCAAGAGGAGATCATCCTTAGCACAGGAGATCAACAGCATTCATTCACTCCTTAAGGTACAAAGCCACAAACAACATTGTGAGCAGAACGTGCAACCGACACTGAAGCCTTTGTTAGTGTTGCAGAGTAAAACATCCTGAAAGACACAAGCATTGCCCAGCTATTAAAAGCGAACGTTATATCTGTCACACAGTAGGTAACTTTCAGAAAATGTGCAGAAGTAACTCTTGCTTTCAGAAAAGTAAGAAATCAAATCATTATCCACATAAAGAGGTTAATGAGATAAAATAATCCACAACAGACAAAAAAACCTCAAGTACTGCTAAGGGAAATAGATGATCAAGATATCATATTTTGACAAACTGATATTTATGGTCATCTTTTGAATTTCAAATTAGAGACTAGGGCAGTGTCAATCACTGTCTAAAGCAGATGACAGTGCAACTATATGGTTCAGACGAATTGCACTTAAGATTAAAGATATGCTACAAATAATTCACCATTATTGAGGATGTCAAATAGCATAAAATCTGTACATATACAGTCTGGAATTTTCAATCTTGAGAAAGAAGGTATACTTTAACTTCTAATCTTGTTCAAAAGGTGGAAGGCATTAAAAAACAGAATGTAAGAAGCTCCTTTAACCAGGAATGCCCTACAGTATTTGAAGGGTCGCAGAAAAGTTGATTATAGCACTACATTGAAGAAAGATACAAAAACCCTCGCCTGAATACACCTCAGGAGACCCCATATTGCACAAAATTATACAAATAGGAGTCATTCCCTGAGTCACAAAACAGAGTGGTATTAGAGGCCAAGCCTTTACCCAAGCCTAAAACCAGTATTCAAATTTGCATTGACTTTACATAGCTCAACAAGGCATGGAAAGAGAGATCCACTCTATATTTATGGTTGATGATGGTTTAGTTAAATCCAAAAGTAGAATTTTCATGAAACTCAATGCAAATAGTTATCTGGCAAGTGCCATTGGATGAGCAATCAAGATCACTTACTACATTCATAACTGCATTTGGAAGATTTTGTTTTAACAGATTGTAAACACAGCTAACAGAGACACAAAACTGAAATTTTTCTTTGTACATTCATCAGGACTAGATGCAAAAACAAAATGTGAAAAACATAAAATGAGAAGAGGGTCCTGACTGGTTGGACCATTGTTCACATGGAGATACAGCAGGACATTCAACCTTAGTTAGTTGGGAAAAAAACTTAGAGTAGGTGGACTCTGGGTGTTGCCATGGAGAACACAGCAGGAATTGACAGTCTCCATAATCCTTTCTTCAATCAGAAAGATGTGGTCCTTTTGCCAACAAAGAACAGGGCCCTGATAGTTTATTTATGTAGCTTCAAACATTTTCAAAAGAAGCACACTGCAAGTTCAGAATTTATTCTGTTCAGCAGCCAAGAAATTAAGAGGGAAAAGAAAATTTGTTGTTTTGGTATCGGGAGAGTGAGGTGTGCCTTGATCCTGGAAAAAGGAAGAAAGGGATATTCAATATTTGGGATCATGAATTGTACAATGCAAGAAACCAGACATTACAAAGGTTCAAGAAGATTTTTATTTACT